TTTTATTTAATATTGTTTCATTTTATTTTATTTCATTTTATTATATTTATTTTATTTTTTTAAATTACTTTATTTCACATGATTTTATTTTATTTTATTTTATTTTAATTTATTTTTTATATCAAATAATTTTATATTATTTCTTTTTATATCATGCTATTTCTCTTTAATTTTTTTTTTATACTTATTATATTTCACAATATTTAATTTTATTTTTTATTATTTTATTTTATTTTTTTCCATTATATTATTTTATTTTGTTTTAGTTTATTTTATGTTATTTTATGTTATTTTATTTTAGTTTATACTTATTTATTTTACATTGTCTTATTATTTTATTATATTTTTTTTTTAAATTTTTTTATTTGATCTTATATTTTCTTATTTGTTTTTTTTTTGCACATGAATTTCTTTTATTTATTTTAATTTTCTTTATTTATTTTATTTTATATTATTTTAGCTTTTATTTATTTTTTTGTTTCATCTTTTTTAGTTAAAGTGTGTAAATTATTTTATGTTATTTTAGTTTATTTTTATAAATTTTATTTTAAGTTATATATTTTTTATTTTGTTTATATTATTTTATTGTAATTTCTTTTTACTTTATGTTATTTCATTTTAGTTTATTTTTAATTATTTCATTTTATCTTATTTATTTTTGGTTAATTGCTTTTTAATTATTCTTTCTAATTTTTTTTAATAAAATTTATTTTATGCTATTTTTAGTTTATTTTTATTTATAGTATTTCATTTTAGCGTTTTATTTTATTTCAGTTTATTTTTATCTATTTTATTTTGTTTTTTATTATTCTTTTTATTTTTTTAAATAATTTTCTTTTAGGTTAGTTTATTTTCGCTTATTTTTTTTTTATTTTATTTTGTTCATTTTCTTGCCATTTATTTTATTTTTTTTATTATTTGTTTTTTTATTATTTTTTTTTATTTTTACTTTTATTTTATATTATTTTATCTTTAATTTTTTAAATTTTATTTTGATTTCTTTTTTTTAAATTTAATCTTTCAATCAATTAATAACGTCATGTTGGTTAACAGGTTATAATTGAAGAAATGGAGATTAATGCAAGAATAATTCTTAAATACATATCTTTTTGTTTTCATAAAAGTATTTGCTAAATAACACGACCTTACTGAAGCAAAACTTAGATTCAGGGGAAAAATAATAAATAATCAGTCTCCTATCGAATAAGTATTTTCAAATTGCGCAATGCCATTAAAACTCACTGCAAGGATGTTGAAAATTGTGAAACGTAGAAAAAATGCAAATTAAAATTCAATGAAACTGTCCGTAATTTTCACCTGAGCCATTAACACATTGCCATATATTCAACGATTCGTCTGCTAACAAACATTCTTACATATATATATTTCGAGAACATATTGTATTTGTATTTGTCTACGTAAAAAATGCAATACAAGCAGAAAAGCGCTCAATATCATTGTAAAACAATGGATTAATTAATATTTAATGAATACATCTGTAACAACCGCTAACAACAACAATGCAAAAGATGCAACCGCACATCGTGCATAACAAATACTCTTATAAGAGTCATAAACCATAAACCATAAACCATAAACCATAATAAAAATGAAATGAAATTGTGTGACAAAATGCAACCGAATCGAAAGTTAAATATCTGCCTCAATGGAATGCAAAAATGTATGAGTGAGTGAGTGAGTGAATGGATGGTCGGTTGGTCGGACAAATCGAACAATGACAAAAATATGAAAAGAACGAAATGAATTATACGAGTTCAGACGCGCTTGTGGCCGGCCATCAGGTGTGTAAGAACAAAAATGTATGATGACAACATGAATAACAAATGCAAGGTTAATTAAAAAAATAAATGTATTCTGTCGCTACTAGATATGCAAATGGATTTACATATGTTTGAATGTGTCGCCGTGCGCGCGCGTATGTGTGAAAATATTTCTGACAACAGTTTGCACTAACTTACTACCGTCAAACTCTTTGTATAAATGTGTGTATGTGTATGCTGAGGAATTTTTGCTACGATGATTTAAGTGCAAATGACGATTTATTGTAATATCTCACATAAATGCGTAATTGATTGCAATTAAAATAATTTCATTTACAAAAGAAAATATTAATTTTGGAAATTAATATGAAAATATTTGATTTTCGAGATTTATACACTTGAGCTTTGTTGGAGTGTTTAAGCGCTACGGGCTGAAAGCATAACTTTTTGAAATGAAAATAAAACAATTTTGCTTTAAATTTCAGTTTTAATATCTCTGATAAGGAAAACTATTGAAAATAGTTATAAAATCTTTGAATGAATTTTTTCGAAACCCTTCTGGCTGCAGCTTTACCCTATATTTAGGAGAATATTATAACATTAAGGCTGGTGCGATCTAAGCGCTTTGCAATGTCAATATTCGATGAGGCAAAAGAATAAATCTTTTATCAACCGAACTTTCAAATCCAAGCAATCAGTGGTATGGGTAGGCTATGGCATATTCGTCCAATCTTCAAATATTTGAAAAAATAAACTACAATTCATTTAACGGGATTTTTTTAGAAATGTGATTTTCAATGGGAAAAACTTTTTTCGAAATTGCCCTTTTTGACACCTGTTACTTGATTTAAACTCACTTTGGTTTCCCATTTCATAATGAATAAACCTAAACAATTGGAGGAACTCACTTCATGAAAGATTTTGCGGAAGGTCCTCAGTTGGCGTACTTACAAAGGCCAACTCGTGCAAGAATTGAAGCCGAAAGATCATCTAGCGTGTACTATATTGGATAAATGGGCTCAAAACAAGATGGCCAGCGATTCCGCTGTTCACACGAAAAATTTGTTCAAACAATGAACTTCACTTTCGGTTGAAAAGATACGCTAATAAACAGGATTTTCACATTTGTAATAATGATAAGCCATTGTTAAGACGCCATTACATTCTCTAAAAAAAGCCACTATTTGGCGCGCTCTATGGGAAGTGCGATGATGGGAATTGCTTCATATCTCTTTAAAATTTAACGGCCATACTTTTACAGTCAATGGCGAACACTATAGAGCACCATAAATTACGAGTTTTTCCTGTTGAAGTTGTCGATGGGGATGAATTTCAGTTCCATCAAGACTATGCTACATGTCGTGCAGCCAACGAAGCAATCAATTTTTCAATAATTATTAATTAAAGCAAACTTTCGGTGCGCGCATTATCTCGCTGCGTCTGTTGTGTGGCGCTCGTGCGATTTAGCAACGCTGGACCATTCTTTGTGGGGTTATGTGAAGTTGCTTGTCCACACAAATAAATCCGAGATGATTGACACCTTGAAAATGACGTATTATTACAAACGCACGGCCCAAATTGATGCGAAAATTGTCGAAAATTCAGACTCTCGGCTGGAATATATTTGAACCCACAGAGGCGAGATCAATTGCTCAAAATCGTTTTAAAAACATAATGGCAAATCATTATCGTTATAATAAAACTAAACTCTTGGTCATAACAATAAATCACATGGGTTTTAGTTCTTCTTGAAAACCACATGTCTAAAAAAAACACCCTGCATATGCAATTTTCAATAAATATTGGTTGTTAAAAAAGTAAATCAAACCATATGACGTACCATATATACGATGTCACTTAGGTTTACTTAGCGGCAAATTTCCCAGGAACAAAGCACCAAATTTTCAGCTAAAATCGCACGGGTAGTTTCTGCGATTCCAGGAAACAAATATGTATAAATACATACGTACATACAATTACTTCATTTATTTTGAAAACTTATATTTACTTGCAAAATTGCGTCAGAATTTTAATTTTTTTGTACCTCTCTTATATTTTTTCACCGTTAAACATTTATATTTTTATACCTTGCAAATTATATTTTTACCGCTAAATTTTTACTGTTATTTTCATTTTTTGGTATAGCTAACAAAAATATTTTGTTTAAATTAATTCGCTATGAATCGAAATCATTTTCATAATAATTTGTATGAATTTGCATAAAATTAAATTCACGCACGAAAGCACAAAATCATCGGCACTTTTATTATTCTTATCATCATTTTTGGTGTTGCAAAAAAAAAAAAAAACAAATACACATATATATGGTTACATATAATTCATTTCTTGAGTTCAGCAAGAAATAGTGCGCAAAATCCAACACCACTACAGCTATATATTTACCATGCATATGCTTAACAATTTTTATGTAAATGTAGTTATGATATATGCACCAACAAGCCTACAGCCAACGCTTTCATCCAGAAAAATCAAATAACAAAAACAAAAAAAAAATGCAATAAAGAAACAGCAAACACCATTTAAACGCTAATAAAATATTTTTAATATGCTTTGTTTATTTTTCAAAAATAAATATAAAAACGAAACAATTTTATAGAAAATTAAAAAATAAATGTTAAATATCTAAAACGCAAAAACTTATTTACATATATTTTTTCAAACAAAACGTTTATTGTTGTTGTAACCTTTTACAGGTTTAAAGAACAGGAGGCCTCTATCCTGATTGATCGATCGTACGTATAAATAACTAAAAATACACACACAAAAAAAAACATAAAAATAATAATGTAAAAATGTAAAGAACAAAAATAAATAATATTTGTAGTTAAATAGAATTATGCCTTGCATAGCAATGCTATTTATTTAAACGTTAATGTGCATTTTTGAGCAGTTTATTTTAAAAGCAAAAAAATAATTAATTTTATGCAAATGCTTGCAAATTATATTTTTATTTATTTAATTTCCAAAGCGTAAATATGCAATAATGAAAAATATGCTTCTCTGCTTTACTTGTTTCGCATAGACGTACATTTTTATAGTATTTTTATTTATGCTTTGCTTTTTGTGCTTTGCTATGAATTTAGGCACTGTACAAAAATAAAGTTTTTTCTCTTTATTTGGATCTTTTTGTATGAAATTTTTTTTAAACAAAGCTTTAAGTGCTTTTGTGAAGTTAAACTGTTTTAAAATATTTTTTTTTATATATCAAAAATGTAAATTAATTTATTCTTAAACATACATACTATAGTGTATATGAATAAATAATGTAAAATGGTGTATATAGTTGTAACGCTGTAAAATTGATTAAATATAATTTAATGCAAATTTAAAATCTGCCTTGGTATTGCCCATTTAACAGAGATATTCGACTAATCGACCAATGAAACTAATAAGAAAAATAAACTTATGTTGAAACTATACAAACTCATCGTTTATGTTAAATTTAAAATGACTGCTTGCTGTGATATTAAGGCTCTGATATTAACAGCACATTTCAATGTCAACGTTTAACATTCTCTGTTAGCGATTCAACATTAACGACAGCATTTAACTTCGGGTGAAAACTGCTTTAACCATAACAGTTATAAGAGTTTTAAATAAATCTATTGAAAGTTTTTGATTAAAATGAAATTAATCGCCACTTTTTTACAAAGGAAGAGCCTGTTTCCATTACCAAAATTAGGCTTACTGTAACGACTGAACTAAGAAAATTTTACATTTCAAATTGTCATTAAAATAGGCGAATAAATATTTTTACATAATTTTTTGTTTGTTGAATTTCTTGAATATTCTAGTAAATAAAAGAACACCACTTCTATATTATATATGAGATGCCAATTTTTCCATACTTTTCCGACTTCAATTTCATATTTTGAAGTCATGAATCCTTTCTAGTTGATTGGTCTAGCACTTATCCTTGATTCTTGGGTAATTTCAAAGAATGTGTCAGAGCTCAAATAAAAGTTTCTTCAAAAAGCATGCGGAATTGCGCACACTACATTTAAAGGGTGTTCGTTTAGACATGTGGTTTTCAAGAAAAACGGATATAATTTAATGTGCTGGCCAAGTATTTAGATTACTTATAAAGATTGGAATTTGCCATTTAATTTTAAAATTTTCAGCCGAGAGGCCCATTATTCTACCTCATTGCGTACCGATGATACCGTATGTCAGTAATAACGTACCGAATATTCTCTTCCCCCACTCAAATCAGCTCTGAGCTATTAAATCACTCGATAGAGGCCATGCGACAGGCCTACACACGAGATCATACGCTCACCAAATCACCACTAAATTGATGGTATCGTTGACTGTATAGCATTAAACACCGCATTTTGGAAATAAAGTTCGTCCACATCAACATCTTAAAATTCTAATAAGAAAAATCATATTTTATAGTCCTCTTGGCAACAGCATTATGGTCGGCTTCGTTTTTGAAGTGAAATTCGGTGTTAGTGGCCATGTTGTTTTGGGCTCACTCACCGAGCATGCGACATGCTTGATATCCGTTCGGCTTCAATGCTTACACGAGTTGAATTTTGTAAGCCCGACAACCAGGTTTCTTCTGCGAATTCTTACATAAAGCGGCTGGGCAAGGAGAAGAGATAGACGCTCCAAAATTAACTCCGACCAGTTGAGTCCGTCTGTCTGTCTGTCTTTTCGCGTATTTTCATGAAAACTAATCCCTCAATTCAAATCAGATGACTACAACAAATTGCTCACACATAAATGATTTGTTCAGAAATGGCAAATTAATATTTCAACCTTAAACGGAAAACCATAAATTTTATACGATTATGAAGGTCTTAAATATTTCAGCATTTTTCTCAGTTTTTGTGCTTTTTCTAATGAACGGAATGTAGCTTTCCAAGCACAAAATCTTTGACTTAAGCTACACAATAAATCCAAATAGGAAAGCTGCCGAACATCTTTTATATATTTTAAATCAATCAAAATTGCAAATCATATTCATACAATACTGTATGAGAAATCAAAAATATTTTTAACTCACAAATTTCATCTCACATAATTCAATTAATCCTCTTTTAATACCTTTGTTTACCTTACATACGTATTTATATGAAACACACGTCAGCAATGTTGTTTTAGCATTTCTAGATTTTTTTTTTCAAATGCGTCTCAATCTAATAGGTGATTTGCCTTCATGATATTTTGAAAAATTCTATTTTAACTAATTCAATAATACATATATATAATTTAAATTTAAAAATATAGCCGAATGCCTAGCCCAGCAGAGACACACCTTTTTAAAGAACTTTTAGTATTTCTATATTATATAATTTATTTACTTACGTTACGCCTTTTTTTCTTTTGTTTTATTTTTTGTATTTGTTTTCCATTTCTCAACTGATTCAAGACGAAATATTGTGGAGCCAAATAAAAGAGACAAAACCAAATTTGCAAATGCGTATTGAATACTCAACTACGTCAGCAGCAGTAAATATTGCATATACTCGTATGTATGTATACGTATAAACACTTTACTAGTGTATACAATATAGGCAATCGTAGAAGCAAGAATATTCAAATGCAAAGTGGTCCACTTTGGGCGCATGCACACTCTTAATCAAAGTGCAATTTTGCATTTGTGCATTAATAAATTACAATTGTTTGCCATAATTCATCGTCTTATTTCATCTGTCGGCCGCAATGGCCGCGTGGTTAGCACTGTGTACTGCCATACGGAAGACCATGGTTCGAGTGCTGATGCAAACAACATTCGAAACTAATGGAAAATTAATTTAAATAAAAAATTAAATTAAATTTTCGAATTGCAGTCGCTCTCCGAGTTGGTTTATGACAAGAATAGAAAACTTCTCATCAGAAAAAAACCAACAGTCGTTCGGAGGCAGCTTAGTATAAGCAAAAAGTTCCTCCATTTGTTGGAAAAACATCAAGACGCATGCCATAAATTGGAGGCCGAAAACTGCTGAAGCGGTTATTAAGTACCAATTATATATATTGATATATGTAGGATTATACATTTCGTGGTTTCAAAGGTTTCAGGCTGAACTTTGACATATGCTAAATTTAGCTGTCAAACGAACGTGTTGGTCATTTATGATCGTTTGACAACTGCACAACTCGCTAAATTTGCTAAAATCTAGGGAAAAAGAAAGGTGATCAAAACGTGGCCCGAATGTGCCTATTTCTCGACATTCTCAAGAGCTGTAATTCTCTTACGGCACATTATGACATATTTTGTACTTTGACTCGTACTTATATCCACATAAAGTCCAGTTCACACAACAAATGAAGCCTGCTGATTATCACAATGCCGAAGATGCATCGACAAGCAATGGACGGCGGTTTTTCGTAAAAAAATTTCTTCAGCAACGATGCACATTTTCTAATCAGACGATAGGTAAATAAGCAAAGTTATAGAATTTGTGATTCCGGGAGATTTCCTAAAAAAAAATTTACTGTCTCGCGTGCTTTTTGGTCGTTCGATAGGATTTAAGCTCACTTAATAGAAATCGATAAGCGCGAGACTAACCCTGACAATTCAGAAAGTTATGGTCGCACAATATGATTTTATAGCGAGAGAGATTTTCCGTGCGCGTAAACTGTCGTCTTGGTGATGTCAATTGCTCACCGTTGCATATTTTTTTTTTTTTTTTTTTTTTTTTTTTTTTTTTTTTTTTTTTTTTTTTTTTTTTTTTTTTTTGAAGTACGCAAAAGACCGTGTTTATGCGGATAAGCTCTTAACTCTTGAGCACTTGAGAAACAGCACTACTCGTCAAGTTATGGCTGAGATACCGGCGAATGTTTGTCGAAAAGTAGTCGAAATTTATTTCAATAGGACCGAAGGGGGAGATTTCGTAGAAAAAAATTCTTTTAAAACCATTTTATTTTCGAAACCACAAACTGAATAACCCTTTATTTTGTTTTAAGCGCATACCGCAATAGATTTACACGCCAAATCACTCAGCCAAACCCTCACAATTTTTTTTTTTTTTCAATAGCCAACTTTTTGGTAAACTGTTTGGCAAATATTATACCGTCTCCTGCCTTGAATTTTTATTTTTTTATTTTTTTATTTCAACCTTTTTGAACTTTCTCCAAATTAGTGCAGCAGTTTTATTAAATATATTTAGCTATTTGACTTTTACAAAGAAATATTTTGTTGTAGTAAAAGTAATCCAATCAAAACCTTGTATGATCTTCTTCTGCTTTTCATCTTCTTGTGCTTCTGCTAGTGTGAGTGTTTTGAGTTGAATTGTTCTTGCTTTACACGTATATGTTTATGTGCATTCGTAGTTTGGTTGCATGTTTTTGCTTTTAGTGCATTTAGTAATTATTGGTATGTATGTTATACATATGTTAGGTAGGCATGTACATATATATATTTTTACTTACAATTTTTTTTTCAAATAAATCTTAAGACACGTCACTTGGATGGGCTTGGAACGGATTTTTTTTTTATAAATTTATGATTAACTTAAGCACTTGAATTTTTAAGATTTTTATAATATTTATAATATTATATATATATATATATATATATATATATATATATATATATATATATAAATACATATTAAAAATTAAACCGAAAATATGTTTCAAATTCATTGAAAATCAGCGTAAAATTTATTTTCAAGTATACTAACAAACATGCATACATTTGTATTGTATATAAAACGTTCAATTGCCAACCAAAAAATTTTATTATGCAATCACTTAAATCGTTATTACAAAAGAGCGCAGC